ACCCTTTAATTGTGGGTTTTCTAGATCTGATGATTTTCGTGGGTTCTGGGTTGAAGTTCAAGTTTCAAAGTTCGTGGTTGATAGAGTATAAAACATAATCTTGGGCCTCAACCATCAGCTTAAGTTTTTGGTTGAGTTGGTTCATTAACATGGTATCAGAGCCAACGTGACATAGAGGTCACGGGTTCGAATCTCATCCACCCCCTATATGTGGAATATTAAGCGCTGGGTATGAGGAGGGCCCATGCTGCATCCACACTTCAAGCAAAACGGGCTCTTGTGTGAGGGGATTATGGGTGGTTCGTATGCTTGGTGGTTTGATTGCATATGGTGGTTCGATTATGGTGTTGTTGGGTGGTGGTGCTAGGTGGTTCGTGCTGCTAGGTGGTGGTGGTTCGTTTGTGGTTTCGTGATGCTGGCGGTGATGTTTAATTTTGGTTTTTTTTTTTTTTTTGGGGGGGGGGGGTCAAATCAATATTTAAGTCCATGCCCTTATATTGCAATAATTACACTTGAGAAATTTTGCCTATGAGTCCGCATATAGCTCTTTTGTTGCGAGTAATGCATAAGGAGGCAGTATATTCTAATTGATAAAAATAATATACTTCACGACCATTCAAAAAAAAATAATATACTTCGCGATCTAATATAATTTTTAAATTGTATGTAGATTGTAGACCTGTCAATCGGGTCAAGGCACGAGTAATTTTGGATCAGGTCACTTCAGGTTACGGGCCAAGAAATGTTCAACCCTAGCCCAAAGTTTTGGGTTAACCCAACGGGCTTAGAATAATTTATTTATTTATTTATTTATTTTTGCTAATTCATAGAAATTTCTAATATTTCATGCTTACTTTCCTTTTTTTTTTTACTATGTATTTAATTCGAACATTTTCATTAATTACTATTAGTCATTACATGCCTACTACATAGTTTAATCGTCACAAAAGCAATACATCAAATCCTAACTAATTTTGTATCAATAATATATTTTAAAATTTGACATGTAGATTAAAAATTTATCTTAAAATTCAATAAACAACTCGGACATCACATGACACACAAAACTAGTATATATATATATATATATATATATATATATATATATATATATATATATATATATATATATATATATATATATATATATATATTAAGGTAGTTTTTAGAGAGCCACCTAGGATTTTGATTCTTTTAAAAAATTATTAGTATTTTTATAATGTTACGTGTAGGATTATGCCACATAAGGTTACTATTTTAAAGCGCCATGTAAGATTAAAATTTATTATAAAAATAAAATATGTATTGGAAATTTTATCTAAGACAAAAGAAACAATTTATTTTATTTCATATATTAAAAAAATACTATTAAACTTACAAATTGAAATTCACATTTCTTAAAAAAAAAAAAAATTAAATTCACGTTCAATTGATATTTAAAAAAAATTGTATTAGATGAAAAAATAATGAAAATATGACAAGTGGTTATAATAAAATACTAATAAAAAAAAATGAAATCACTTTCAATGAAAAAAAAATCAGTTTTCTCTAAAAAAAAAAAATATCAGCTTTGGATTAGAAAAATATATCCATTCTCTTTTTCTAGCACAAAAAAAAAAAGGTTCATCATTTATCATATATTTGTCTAAAAGATTAAGTTTTACGTTAACAAAATTTATCATATCAATAATAAACTTTCATCTAATGTCCCACGCGATGAACGGTGATCATAATTAAGAAGTCAGTTCAATCATAAGTGTTAATTTTGCAACTTTGCTAGGGGGGCGGTTTAATTATGCAACTTATCAACTGGCACGATCAACATTGATTTACAAAGGATAATGGAAGCCTGAAAGATTATATTTTTACCGTGTTCACAATTTGAAAAGTTGGTTAAACAAATACATATATTTCAAATATTTTATTTTCTTTCTATTTTTCTTCAAGAGTTGGTTTGTATTGTTGTTAAAACAAACCATTTATAAAATATATCGTGTTTATATATGCGTGAACCTTAATTGTATAAGATTAAAAAAAATAAAATAGCAATATTATGTACTAATACTTTGTTATTACGATTGAATATTAAATGTTAAATTTAACTATTAATAGAAACTCGTGTATCGCACGGGCTTAAATCTAGTTGCAACTAAAAAAGAATGGACAAAGTATTCTTTAAGTTTTATCTATTTAATAGGATATATGTTACGATTTTACTATCCGACTTTACCAATCTAATGGACTAATGCTATCCCTTTGATGTTGGCTTTCACAACCCTCATTCTATCGCAAGTTACAACTATATATATATCTCTAAAATTGAGTCGATCGAAGCAGAGTAAATACAATCGTGTATGCATGTCCAAGTTATAACTTGTAGCCATAACTAGAAAGCAGTGTTATATGAAGCGTGTGTATCTGACAAGACTTTACAACTAGTTTAGCGTAACAAAGAAGAGAAAACAGACAAATAAAAGAAAGAAATAGCATTGCCATGCTACGTTTGTCATCCTCCCTTTGGACTTTAGAATTGATTATACGAAGATTAATTAATTAAATATATATGAGTACTTAAAAGTTAATTTTGTTCTAATTAATTATTATGAATGTCTTATTAATATCTTCGACCAATTATAGTTCGAATCTTAATGGAAAGCCTTTTCAACATGATTACGCTACTTTAGTTTCACTTTTGCAACTTGGCAAGTTACTACAATAATTTAGAGAAATTATTGGTGCCCCTTATCAACTGTTTACAATAAATTTGCGCACCATTAAGATGTTTGTGCATTATTTCAATTATTTCTATATTACTGTCATATTAATAATATAATTCCATGTAGGTGTATATCTTCGTACATTAACAATAATAAGTTCGTTAAATTATTTCATGAAATTTGAATACATAGATTAGCAATATAATACTTTTTTTTGTATCTAAAAGTTTATCGTTTAGAATCTCATTATTCTTCAATTTGAGAAGTTCATTAAATTATTTTGAAAGCTATTTAAGGTCTTATTTGACTCATCTTAATGAGTAATATAAAAAAGTATTAATATTTTTTTTTTATAATAATTTAACTATGAGGTAATAAATAAGGGTAATAATGGTCAAAATTTCTAAGATATTTTTTTTTTGACAAGAGCAAATGAACAAACAAAAACTAAAAACTATAGCAGATTAGAACAATTTATCCGGCAAATCTTAGCAATATCATCAGCCTGATATACCTGGTCTCTCTGGACCTTTAAAATCGTGCATCTTTGAAACGTAGCCTCCACTCCCCTGATTTCCTTCAGCAACCAAGCAATCGAAATGTCCTTGCTCGGGTGCACCTGTAAATTGTTCAAAAGGCCAGCCGAGTCAGTGAAGAGAAGGATTCCTATTCTCCCTTTTGCTCTAGCCCACTTCATTGCTTCAAGGCAAGCCCAGGCCTCACATTGAATAACTGACACAGCTGCCCCATGTTTACCTCCTTTGTCGAGAGCAAACCCATGATGATTAGGCTTAACTGCGCACCCTATCCCTGATCTTGTTGTCTTCCTATCCCATGAGCCATCTGCTTCCACCATGAAGTCATCAAAACCTTTGTCTTCCTTTCCCAGTTGCACACAATTAAAGCCCGGGAGAAGAGTTGGGTCATTTTTTCCACTTAAATCCCCCACATTTGTTAGTCTTGTTTGATGTTTAAAAGTCTCATGGTCTTCCATAGCTCGTTGAATAGCTTCATTCACTAGGCTTATAGTCCCCTTAGTATTATTGAAGCATCTAGCATTTCTAGTCCTCCATAAACCCCACATAGTTGCCACGAACAAAGCACAACGGGTGCTGTTCTTACCATCCTCGCTATTAAGCAGCAGGATAAAGTGCTGGACCCAACTTTTCAAAGAGTTGAACCCAGGAGAATCAGGGCAAATAGTTAGGGAGCTACTTTCCCAAACTTCCTTTGCCGGAATACAGAACCTGAAGATGTGTGGGCTATCTTCTAAGTTTACCTCACAATGATCATAGATTTCATCTACTCTTATTCCCCTTTTAGCCAAATTAACCTTGGCTGCAATACCGTCATGAAAGAGCTTCCAGAGGAAAACCTTCCATTTAGGCTGGATGACCAGCCTCCAAATCACCTTTACAAATTCTTGATCCCTTGCTGCAAAATTTGATCTCTCTAAACCCCCATCCTTTGATAAGTAGTAGTATCCAGTTTTGACGGTGTACCTGCCCGATGGGTGATATTTTCAGTAAATAAAATCGTCCTCCTCAGTTGACTGTGGTAGTTCCATTGACAGAATCGATTTTGCACTATCCCAGTCGAAATATTCCCTTACCATTCCAGCATTCCAAGCTTTATCCTCCCTGTTAATAAAATCCTTCACTTTCCAGTTAGCCGCGGCTCCCAGAGTTTGACCTGATCTAAGATATATATTGACAAATAAACGAGCTGATACAAAGAGAATAGCATTTATATTGTGTTCCATATAATATATTGGAATAAATTTAAAGAATTAAACAAAATCATCCAATTTTATATTACTTGAATATCTTGATTATACTTGTACTATGAATTAGTCCACTGACAAACTCTCTTCCACTAGCACTTGACTTTCAGTATCCCATGCTTGATAAATAGAATAATATTGAGTTCATATAGAAAAGTTATTGACCTTTTGAGAGGAATAATAAAAAAATAAAAAAATAAATAAAAATTTAAAAAAATTAAAAAAAAAATGATAAAAAAAGGAAAGAAAGGAGAAGATATAATATAGAATTAGTGACTAAATAAAGCTAGCTTGAGTGTTACTTCTATTTTACTCACTCTCATTAACATTCGATTGTCAGCTTGATGGGAAAGGGTGCCGAGGGGGTGGCTAGGTGGTGCACCGTAGGGGTGAGTAATATATATACTTGGATATTGGATTTTGAGTTCCAAACTAGTTTTGATTGTGGATTAAAATACAAGATTTAGTCCAAAATTGGGCACCTAGGCCAAGTGAATTGGAAACCAAAACTTGAATCAATTTCATGCATCAAGTTTCTAATTGGATTTGTCAAAATTGGTATCAGACTTCGATTCGATGCTCATAATCGGTTCCATTAACAAATTGTTTAGCTCACTTTGTAATTTTATTGAATTTTCATGGTTTAGTCTTCAAAATTTTATTGGAAATTTTGTTGTGATAGGGCCTTGAGCCAAACTCGTTTCATTACCATCCAAAATTTATATACTATATACAAGTGGCGTATTAATTTTTAACAATCGGTCCATATGCAATACATCATCTTAGCCATACTTATCGGTTTCTACTATAAAAACAAACTATCTTTTAAATATTATTTACGTGCGTGCCTATATATAAAAGCCATATGTATATACAACCAAAGAGTAATAACTGAAATAATAAAGTGAATAATAACATATGATTAATATGAATGAATTATGAGCATGTGGAATTGCCTCAGCAGAGAACAACAAACCAAACCACAAAATAATGTTAGTAATAAATCGTAACTATCATGAAGAACCCTGCATGCATGTGTGGGAAAATAGCATGATATACATTACAAATTACAACGATAGATTCATGTGATCACATCTTTCATTTAATTGTAACAACTCATGAAAGATAGAGACCAATTTCCAAGTTTCGTTCATTGGGCCCCACCCATGACCCGACCTTTTATCAAAACATTAGCTTATTAGTGGGCAGTCTAACCAATTACTACTTCCATTATCCCTTCTATGATTGTGATGGTTTTGGAAGCATGTTTTGCTCCTTAATTAAATATTACTTCCTTTGTCTCTTTTAATTTGCCTCGTATTTTTTCATAAGGTCTTCCTTAAGATTGCTCCATTATCTTATTTGATAAAATTTTACATGCAAAAGTTTTATACTTGTTTCATCTCTCGTTAATCCTATTATACAGTCCCATATGCATAGTTTTTTCTAGCTAAAAAATATTTCATAAACTTTGTTCTATGTGGCAATAAAAAAGGAACGAGGATAGTACGTGTGAATAGTTTGGTGGATTATTCCAAAAAAGAGAAAATGTTATTTTTTTTATTCAATAATGATTATACAGTATCTTATGCAATGAAGAAAAATGGAGTCACCCACATAAGTTGACTAAATTGTGACTAGGTTTTCTTTCGTTAGTTTCTACTGCGGTCAATTGGTTATCTCTTGGAAAATCAATATTGTCCTACTGCTTATATGATCCAAACAACATTATTTGTGGGTGGACAGATAGGAAGGGCCAGATGGTGAAACCATTGTCCAAACCAATTATTATGCAAAATACATACGAAATAACCCTTTTTGTTTTACATTTCATAATATATATATCCGATAATAAAAAGATGTATTCTGCTTAAATTTTGCCGAGTGTATGGCTAGTGTTAACGCAATATTGTGTGGGAGTTACTAATATTAGAGAACATTTTAAAAATATTGATTTACAAAAGTTAGAAAAACATAACATCATAAGAATTGCTCTCGTTGAGAGTCGAACTCAAGACCTCCCGCTTACTAAACGGGTGCTCTAACCAACTGAGCTACGAGAGCTTATTGGTGAAGTATCAATCTGAAATCGTATTAATATAAAACTAAAAACTTATAATTCCAAATTCCAATGTAGAAAAAACGAAGCGGCTAGAACTGGGTTACAAAGCCCGACCCAGCCCGAACTAAAGTTGAAGACAATTTTAACCTCTAACAAGTAAACACCTGAAGTCAAACAGATGACGTTACATATAGTGAATTGGGAACATGAGAAAAGGATAACTGTGATTTTCAATGAATTTGGGTTGAATATTAATTTTTTTCTACAAAACACTTCCTCTGTCCTTTTGTTTTTGCCCCATTGCCATTTTTTGGGTTAAATTTTAATAACTTTGACCATAAATTACCGTTAATATATAAAAGATAATATAGTTATGAGTGATCTTTTTAGATTCGTCTCATTGTATATTTTATTAATATCACATTTTTATAATTTTTACGTTTATGGAAATAAAGTTATATACGTTTTAAGACGCGTTTTAGAGACCGTGCGCAGTCAAATGGGGCAAAAAAAATAGGAATAGAGAGTCTACTACTCTTTCTATGCATGATTTAGGAGCCCATGATTAATAGTCCAATTGGTTATGTAATTTGCATTAATAATGTAATTTGCATTAACAATGTAATTTGCATTAACAATGTTACAGTTAAATCGAATAAGTCTCATTGAATATGTAATTTGAATTAATAATGTGATAGCTAAATTTCGACCAAGATACTTTTCATATACTTACGTTTTGATGATTTGCTTAAACCATTGTGTGTTGTGGATGATACGTAATACAAGTATATTAATGGGAGTTTGTGCAGAGGGACTTAAACTTTGAGTTGTTTGGGTTGGTCGGATAAGGAACAAAAGAAGCATTTATTTTGGGCTTTGCTTCCGGTTCCATTGCTGATTACATTTTCACAATTTACAACTCAATTAAAGTCCCAACACAAATTCACCACCACCAACAAACAGTTCACCAATCAAACGCCCAAATTTCCACCAACACAGAATCCTTTACAAAATTAATCGATTATCCAATAATAATTGTTCATTTCACACAAAAACACCAACCAAAGTCTTGGGGTAAAGCCAGATTTTATTGTTTTTGGAGGCCAGAAGATTATAGCTAGTGGGTAAGAAAGGGCGAACCAAAAAGAAACGCTAAATAATTTTAACTCTTGTTTTTTTTCCATTGGGGCGCTTGGGCCTGGGGAGGGGGGGAGGGGGTTAGGATACGACCGTATCGGTCTGTATGACATGCTTTGGCCATAATCATGTCTCGGTACAAAATACCACATAACCTAAGTTTCACGAAACATCACTAGGAAAGGGATTGACGACGAAGAATCATTAGGATTGTAGGAAAGAAAATAAAGGAGTGGAAGATATACATTCACGATCCTTCCAATTATGACATGAGGCACAAAACGATGAATCAATTGAGAAAGGAGGTGTTCTTGATAGTCATGCTCAACTTCAGACTATACTAGAAGTGCTCTGCATTCATGTTATACTTTAGGCAGGGTATTGCTACTATTGCTGAGCTAGCTATTGCTTTAGTTTCAGAACCTCGTAATACAGTAATCCTTCTGTTCATCTCCCTTTTTTTCCCTCTTACTGTTTTATGTACCATGGAAAATGTAGAAGAGTACGTTCGTTTTGTTTCTTCGGTTGGTTAGGCTTAGGCACCAACAATGAACACTGGAGGCTGGGGCAGTCTTACTTGCTGCAATACTGCATATTAATGCCATACCTCAACTTTTGTCGTTCGCTCCTAGCACGATCAGGTTGTTAATTACACATTCAAAGATCAAACTCGAAGCAATTTGCGCAAATGCCACCTTTTTCATATGATGGATTAAATATAATAATAATAATAAAAAGAAAATGACAAATTTAGCTCAACTGGAAAACATAACTATTCTGATGGTTACTTTTAAAATGAAAGCATAAATATATGATTAGCGTCACCTGTAAGTTAATGGATGGATAGACCTTACAAAAAAGAATCGCTTAATCAGTCAAAAAAATACGTACTACAGCTTGTACCAATACCGCTATCTGCCAAGTGATGAATCCTCACTCTAGCGTAAGTAGCTTCCCTCAGCAAAACTAAAAATATTGGACCAAAATTATGTTGATGATGATGCATCAGATAGATACCAAACAACTTGGTAAGTTCTAACCAGTAGTTTTCTTGCTTCGGAAAGTCTCCTTGAGTGAAGCAAATTTCTTCTTGCATTGATTCATAGTTTTCCCAGGGACAGCAGTTGCAACCCGCTCCCAACGCTGAGGTGTTTCCTTGGGAAACGTTTTCAAGGCCTGAACAAGAGCTCTCTCTTGAACAGAAGACCAAACATCTGGGTCAGATAATCCCGAAGAAGCAGCTGGGCTATCTGTCGATGATGGTGCATTTGGAGTATCTGTAGGGGTTGTTGAACTACTAGCATCAGCCCCAGGAGCAGACCCAGTATTAGTCCCATTCACAATTGGAACACCTTGGACTTCTTCTCTAGTACTAAGTGGTGATGAAATAGTTGCCGCTGGTTTCCTTTTCTCAAGGAACGAATCAAATGCCTTGGAAGAGTCTGGCTTCTGGAGAAGAACTGATTTTGTAGCCTTCAGAATCTCTTCCACTGATCTACCAGTACCAATATACTCGGAAATAACCTCCCATCTCCTTGATGTCCCTTTTGGAAATTTTTGCATACCTTTTCTTAAGAGATCTATTTCTTCCTTGGCCCAAGGCTTCTCCTTTTCTTTCTCTTTCTCTTTCTCTTTCTCTTTCTCTTTCTCTTTCTTTTCATGGCTACTTGATGAATTCATGCTTCCATTAGCTTCCACTGCACCAGTTTGTTTTGGTTTCGGATTTGGACTAGAACTGGGACTCTTCTCATCGTCAACTTGACCATTAAGAGAGTTTTTAATAAATTTAACCTGTTCCTCTTTTTCCTTCCCCTCTATCTTATCACATAGGCCCCTGAGTCGCAACATGTCAAGTGACATACATAGAGTTTCTACATCATCCCCAGAAATATCAAATACACGATCAGATGCAACTTCAGCAGTAAGTGACCGAAGACGGGTCCGTTCTTTGCGCAAGAGTTTCTTTTCCTTCTCTTTTGCTTTCTTATTAAGCAAAGCAGCTTCAGCAGCTTTTTTATCTTCCTCCTCTTTCTTACGCTTCTCCTCTTCAGCAATTCGTGCAGCTTCTTCCTCTTCTAACTTCTTGGCTAAGAACTTGGCTTCCTTCTTCCGCTTCTTCTCCGCTTTCTCAAATTCTTTCCTCTTGGCTATCCTGGGATCTCTTTTATAGGCATTGTCAACAAGAGAGCGTACCCGAGTATATTCTTCTTTCCTGGCTTTCTCACTTAGCTTTGCATTTTGTCTTTCCATCCATCTTTTATGATCCCGAGATTCTGCTTGCTCAAGGTCAAATTCATCTGCATGTGGAAATTCTCTCCAGCTTTTAAAGGAATACCAAAAATTGTAGAATTTATCAACCTCGTCAAATGAAGAATTTTCATCTCCCAGTGAAGGGGCAGGCTGGTGAACAGACCACCGGCTATTCCTCATAAAAGCTGGACCAAAAACTTTGAAGAAATCTTGAGGTGCACAATCAGTGGGGATTTCATCATCAAATTCATCAGTTGAGTCATACATCCTTCTTTTTTGAGGGTCTATTAACAACTCATAAGCTTCTTGAATGGCCTTAAAATGGTTTTCAATTTCATCCTTCTTTGCTAGCTTTGAAGCTTCAGTTTCTTCTTGCAGAAGGAGTGCAGCTTGTTTGTCAGGATGATATTTCAAAGCAACATCCCGATAACTCTTTCTTATCTGCTCCTCAGTTGCAAGGTATCTCAAATGTGCCAACCCCAACAACGCATAATGGTCTTGTTGTTGTTTACCATCACCTCCAGATTTCTTCTTACTCTTACCACTGTATGACTCAAAAGAAGGAGTAAAAGTTTGCTCTTTATCGTTTGATGCACTCTGATCATCATCCTTGTCTGAAACTTCTACACAATGGCCAGAAAGTCTAAGTGCAACAGCGTGAAAAGAATGGCCAGCAGGTTCATACTTTGACACCTTTAAAGGGAGACAATTTGAAGAAACGTAGAGTGGCTTCCCATCTTCAAGCTCTTGTAAGTAGGATATAAGTCGAACATTACTCACTTGCTGGGCCATCATTTCTTAATAATGGCCCCAATATCAACAAAGAACGGAAACCACCAAGGAAAAGGAAGTCCAAAGACTACTCAGCTAGCAAAACCACCAAACTTGAAACTGCAATTATTCATGAAGATAGATTTTAAGTTTCTGATAGCCAAAAATGTCTATGAAAAGACTTCAAATAATGTTTAAGCTAAAGATATAAAGAAAGTCACATTGATTAACAAAGAATTCCAAAGAGCAAGGGCACGTTTCCAGTTAGCACAACCTGGAAAAAAATATATTTACTAGTATATCTTTCCTAGCCAAGGTAAGGTACAAATCTTAGCTGCACACAAATGCATAACACTCAAATCTCCTCCCTGATAAAATTCTCAGATAATATCACTAAAATCAATCAAGTATAAAATTGGAACAAAAAGGCAGATAAAAAGAAATACTATCAGCCAACCAAAAAATGTTAAAATGAACAAAGTCCAGAAGAAAGGGTAGCAGGAACACAAAGTAACCGGTTACAGAGCATAGGGGGTAACAGGAAGAAAACTGTGGCAAAGCTGGCTACATTGAATAATGAAGAGGGGTTTCAGAGTGCACAAAGACAGGCAAAATAATTTTCCAATATTCTATCTCAAAATGTTTCAAGTAAGATTCCAAAGCACTAATTGATGCACAATCTCTTCTATCACTGAGCATCGAACAATTTCAATCCTTGTAAAAATCCATATTAACTACACAATGTTAGTAGTAAATCATTTTATTTCTAAACACATTATTCATTTTTTTTTCGATCACTGAGTTCAGCACTGAACATAATTTATTTTCAATGGAAGGAAATTAGGAATTATCAACCTAGTACATAAGCTACAGTCCCTATGTGAATGCATAGTGATCCATGATCAAACCAATAACCCAAATTTCACCTTCTGTTGAGAGTATCAGGCAGTCAGGACTACCCATGCCTAAGCTGCAAAAAAGGAATTTAATCTTTTACCCTTGTCCAAACCCCCCCCCCCCCACCAAAAAAACAAAAACAAAATGTTATGCTGTATACTTTTTAAGGCACTTTCACTGAAAACTTGAAGAGCCACTTTATAAATCATCCAATAAACAAGACAGGGGCAAGACTTGGATTATCCATTAAACATAATATTTGAGTAAAATGCTTTTGCTCAATGAGATAACCTTATACGGCACAAATTGACACTGATGCAGTAAAAGTCTAATTGAAGTTATTGGAACTACAGAATCAGAAAAAATGTTAAAAACGATCTAACTACTTTCTTATGTAAAATCCCTTTTGGAGTTTAAAGTATGAATACAAGCACACAATCAACAGTGCTGCAGTTCACTTGGATTCCCATTTAAAACATTAAGTTTATAGTCATCTATCCCAAAGCTCCTTCTCTAGAGAAAATTTAGCTGTCCATCTGTTAAACACATAATGTCAAAAACTCCTTAAAAGCCAACTAAACCATGAACATAAATTGGGATCCAACGAGAAGATTCTTAAAATGAGGATTGATATGCAACATTTTCATTGAATATGCATATTTTTTTCAGCTAAATGAGCATATTTTGATTCTGAAGCCAGTATATGCAAGAAAAAAACTTGGGCTCTCGGGAAGGTAAAATGCTATGATACACAGTGGGAAGCTAAAATCCAGTGATACAACTAAGCATCTAATACAACAACAACAACAACAACAACAACAACAACAACAAAGCCTTAGTCCCAAAATGATTTGTTATCAATCATTATATACTACTTGGTTCTAGTATATTATTTGTAATATTTAGTAAATAAAAATAGGAAAAAAAGACATGCATATAGAGTAACCTTTTTGCCACGTAAGTGTACATAAATAATCCCATGTTTTATGATTTTAAATACAAGCTCACCAAGATTCGTGGAAGAATGATTTATCAGGGGATAGTAGATAATACCCAACTAACCAAATTACTTGAAAGAAAATAATTAAAAAAAATTGCAGTATCAACAAATGCCCGTCAAAAATTTTTCCTGCAAAGATTCACACTATACTTTCATCTGGAATCATGAAAGTGGGATAAGAAGGTGATTAGGTGGATTAGGATCAGATTATTAACTATCATATTTCCTGATACTTATTTAATGAATTTTCTCAATTTCTCATTCATTCCTCATGGCAGTATTGTCATAGAATCACACATTATGATCATCAGAGAGAGTTAATGACTTTGATTATCATTATGACAACTTGTTAGTAATATTATCCATCCATTGTTGCGCAGAACAACCTAAAAGGCATTGGCTTGCTGACAATTCATTGCCATCTTCACTTCACACCTTTGCCAAGCTTACCTAACAGTTTAAAGGAGAAACTGAGAAGAAAGACATTTTCTGCCATCTTCTTCCTACCTTCAGGATTCCAGGTTTAAAAAAATAGCAAGAGGGTTCATAAACTCTGTTTAAAAATAAGAGCTCTTCCCGGTCAATTACAATATGCCTAAGAGCCTAATCACTATCCCATCTGAGACTAAAATAAAATTCTAGCTGAAATGTTTCCTGCTTCAAAATTTAAAAGGTAAGCTACCTTGTTATTTAGAGTATGTTTCACAGTTTGGCACACCCATGATGAATTCTTATAGAAAAACACATGTTTCTCTAACATTACGAAAGGAAACATCAGAGTCTCAGACACTGATTTAAAAGCTTGATACCGTTTAGCATGTTACAAGATCTACTAAACTACGAATATATACAATTTCTCTCACCAACCAAAGAAGATTCACTTAAAGAACAAAATCCTTAATTATCACAATATGTAATTTACCACACCAAGTATTTTTAGTCCAAACATCTTCAATTTTTCAGAAATGTCGATAATCAACCTGATTACAATCACCAGCAACAATTACCACCGCGCAAAACAAAGCACAATATCTAACACATCAAACCTAATGATGTCAACCCAGCAAATCTCACTTCGAAGATTTAACCGCCATAATATAGAAACAGAACAAACACAACCAACTACAAAAATCAGCGCAATAAAACATATAGTATACTGTATAAATATATTCATCTCGAAAAACAATAATTCTTCCAATAGTTTTGCGCTATGTCGGCAACTATGGTAAGAAGATGCATAAATCAATTTGATTACAAACAAATTTGCTTGATTGGTACATGAAAAACCCTAATCGCAAAATCAATACCAGATTTTAGCCATATTAAACACAAAATATCCAAAAAATCTCCGAAATCGACCTTAAAGTCATCAAAACATAAGAAATTGAACTTAAATCATCAAAAAAACAAAAATATAAATCGTTCATAGCATAAAACATAATAACAATAACAAATTAACAAAAAATTGAGAGAAAAATACCTTGATTGAAAGCAGAGAGATCGCAGCAAAAGTGGAGAGAGAAGGAAGAGAAAGTAGGTATAGAAGGAAGCGTGAAAGCTAAGAAGTTGAAGCTTTGGTGAAGAAGAAGTATGAAGCTGCGATTGGTTGCGAGAGTTTGTGAGAGGAGAAAGAGGCGTTTTCTCCTTACTGGTTTGTGAGGTCTGCTAGGGTTTTGTTTAAGTAGCAAGTGTTCTATTGCTCATGTTTTCGAAGTTTACTACCGAGTTGCCTATAACTTCTTCTATCGCAACCTAGCGTTTGCGTGTCAAAATTTAGTTTTTCGCTGTTATTTTTTAGTTGCAACGTTTACTCTTTAATGATTAGGTTAAAATTGTAAAAACAAAATAAAAAATGACATTATATATTTTTGCTAAAAAAAATACAATTTATATGAAGTATACAAGTACGGTACATAATTACAAAAAAATATGAAAGGCGTTGTGTTTGTATTATGGTTATAGTTGTACATCATAGGCAGCCTAAAAGAGATTATCTTGTGTGCATTGAGTATCAAGTTTCTATAAAATTGTATTCGAATCTGACCTAACGAGCTCGACCCAAATATGAAATTTACCTATTATAAGATAATCAAAGATCTTATTTAACTTCAAACTAGCCTAACCTAAACCAAACAGCCAATGAGTCGAAGCTCACCTTATCGATTCGAAATTGGCTGAGCATAAGTGTTCAAATCGAAGATCTTCTCCTTCGAATACAAACACAATAAAGGAATAAAGCAAAAGTAGGAAGAAAAACACTATAGTATCTTTTTTTTCCTCGAATTGGTTGCTTTATTTCTATAATATATTTGAAGTTATAAATTTTTTTCTAAACTGAACTTATTTTTACTAAATTGAACTTATTTTTACTGAATTGAAATTATTTTTATTGAACTAATTTATTTATTTTTACTAATTTTTTTTTTTTTTTTTTTGAAAGTAAAGTGAAGAAGGCTTTAACAAGACGACAAAGAAAAGGAGGGAGTTGTTTTGTTTTTGGGTAGTTGTAAAACAAACACAATGGTTAGGGGTATCTCCTACACTCTTAGTTGCAGTCGTTAGTTTTAGGGGTGAGCACGGATCGGATATCCGATCCGAAATTCACTTTCGGATCAAATGTTTGTATCCGAAAATTAGGATATCTGATATCCGATATCCAATCTGAAAGCTTCAGATATCCGATATTCGGTTATCCGAAATTTTGGATCGGATAATTTGGATATCCAGTATCCGATTCTTTTTATTAAATATTTAATATTAATCATTTTATAAAGGCAAAATTATTTTTTTAAAAGGCAAATTCATATGTATATTTGAGTTATTTTGCTGTTTTAGTCTTTAGAGGCAAATTACAACCTGAACAAATTGAATAATTAAATAAACTAAATAACTTAAGTAATCAAATAACCTGAACAAACCAAAGTGACTGATTGAATAACTTGTGAACAAACTCACAAAGTGACTAGAAAAAATCTGAAGTCCAACTAATTATAACATATTACAATATAAAGAAATTTTAGAGAACTTGCATACTAATTGTCACATTACAAAACAAAGAAATGTTCAATTTCCGTAAATCCCAGAGCTGGATTGCTGATTCACTAGTTAATGTAACAGAATTCACATCATGAGGATCCCATGATCCACCAGTTAGGTAATGAAGCACACCATCTGATTCCAGTGATTGTACCTAGAAAACACAGGAACATTCAAATAAAGAATCAGATGATGTTGTATTAAAAGCAGGCACATTTGCATGAGATATAACACATTATAAAGACATAAATACGAATTGATTAGCAAAAATGAAGCCAAATGTAGACGAAGATACAGGTACAGTAGGCACATTTGTATGATCCATTTATCACAATGGAAGAAGCAGAATCTGTAGATTAAGTGGAGGAACTATCATCCATTATAGATGAGCTCCTCTTATCTGCTACTCCATTCTGCACCGTTGATATATAGTTAATTTCACTACCACTGGCTTCTGCAAGGGGGTGAATCTCTGATGTGTTTGTGTCCCAGTAAACAGGACTTGCATCTCTATCTTGCATTTCTATCTTCTGAATCAAGACGTACCATGTCCACAGCACATTCCACAGAATCAGACACATCAGACACATAATCAAGTGTATCATTCTTGTCGGACACAACAATCAGAACCTTAGTCCAACTTGGCAATGGTTAGAACATATGTGCATATAAAGTTTGTCGAGCATCGCCAACATTTGATGTCCACGTCCAAAAAATATAAATATACTCCCTTCATCCACAAACAATCATCCTATATTTCATCTTAGGATGTCCACAAAAAAAAAAAAAAAAAAAAATAAAATAAAATAAAATAAAATAAATATATATATATATATATATATATATATATATATATATATATAAATCCACTAATTTAAATGGAAAATTTTCTTACTTAACCCATGTACAGTAAACCACTTCCACCAAGTCCCTCTCACTCTCACCCCACGGCTTATTAAATTCCTAAATATGCGTGTTAAAGCCTAACAGGAATATTTTTTTATGGATGGAGGGATCAGTTTTAAAATAAACCAAACAATGTTCAGCAATAAAAAATGGACAGTACGTTATCTAAATTAAGTTCACATGATTATTAGCACTGATGCAAATTTATACAAGTTATTGTAGCATTTGTTGTACTTAAAGTAGGTCAAAGTTATTGTTAAAAAAATGCAGAAACTATAACATTAAAAAAAATACAAACCAATAAAATAGTATTACCTCTAATTCTAAAAATAATCATCGACGACGGAAACCGAGGGAAAATCAACAAGAGAAGACAACTCTACATTAAAAAAAATAGTAAGTTATACAATAAATACATACAAATAATTGTAGAACATAAAATAGAAAAAAAAAAAAAAAACAGAAACATTTTGTAAATTCCAGCTTAAATAAATAATAATAGATATTAAAAAAAGTATTACCCTCTTCAATTTGTTGAATATCATCAATACTTTCTTCAATCATAAGTGTACCACGTGTACTACGCATCCAATCTTGTGCACATATCAAAGCTTCAACCATATGTGAAGAAAGCGAACTACGAAACACATCAAGTACTCTCCCACTGGTGCTAAACGCAGACTCGGATGCAACCGTAGAAACTGGAATGGCTAATAGACCAACAATAGGATATCTCTCCACCCCTTTTTTCCACCATCCCAAAGCATCAAAATTCTTACCCGTGATAGGCTTTCTATCATCCATTAAGTACTTGTCCAAATCACTTTTTTTTTTTATCAAAAATCATTTGTCCACCAATATCCCTTTCAAACTCATAATCAGCCACATCATGCCAATCATTACAAGTTTCCAAGTCTCTTGAACTCAAATAAATATTTTCAGAAACATTTGGCACATTTTGACTTTGTAAAGAAGCATAATGTTCATACAACGAAGTCAAAGTATTCATGACCATATCATTCAACTTTGCAGCCTTCATAGAGTCATATTGATAATTAATAGCACACATCACATAATGCATTTTGCGTCTAGGATCAAGCACAACAGCAACATACAACATCAAGTTAATGTTATCCACATTTTCCCAATATTTTTCATGATTTTTCTTCATCCCATAGGCCTTTAACATCTCACCACTATCAACACTTTCACACTTTTTTTTAATTATCTTCCAAATTGTCACAAGTTCAAGCAAATACACATTATTATTAGCAAACAAAGATCCATAAAGTCTCAAAGTGGCATCATAAATTATCTTAAGAAAGGGAAGCAAAGAAGCAACACGATCCCAATTGTTATCGGCAGGAACACCAGAAAGTTTTGTTTGTTCAGCAAGAAATTTACCACCATCAGAATTCTCCAACAAATCAAAAGCTTTTTGATAAACCATAGCATATTCTAACATCAAATAAGTGGAGTTCCACTTAGTTTCAACATCCAAACAAAGTTGACGTTTTGATTCAATTTGTTCTTGATTAACACAATTTCGAAACTTTTGCAATCTAGCAGGGAAAGATCTAACAAATCTCATAGCATTACGTATTCTTTTTATTGATTCATCACATTCTTTCAAACCTTCCCTCACTGTTAAATTAAGAAGGTGGGCTGCGCATCGCATATGCACAAATTTACCATCTAAAATAGTCCCATCTTTGCAACCTCCTCCTCAAATATTGAACCCCTACATCATTTGAACTTGCATTGTCTACGATAATGGTCATTACCTTGGTAATACCCCACTCAAGCAAACACTTTTCAATCGATTTACCAATAGCCTCACCTGAATGGCCAGTAATAGGACAAAAATTTAAATTTTTTTTGTGCAAGTTCCAATTATGATCAATAAAATAGACTGTTAAACACATGTAAGACAAATTTTGACAAGAAAACTTGCTAAATTAGCTCTTCAGTTTTTTTTTCATCCAAAAACACACGATAACAATCTCTAGCAACTGTGAAACGAGAGGGAATAATGAAATTTGGTTGAACAACAGACATAAAATGGCGAAAACCCTTACGCTCAGAAAACCTAAATGGCAATTCATCCATTATTATCATTTTAGCAAAAGCTTTTCTACCATCCTCCTGCCTAAACTTCCAAAATTCTAATTTTCCTTTTTTTCACATTTTTTATTATCACCTATACTATCTACTAAAGTTTGTTGACTTTGCTCACTAGAAAAAGCAAGAAGCCTTTGTGATTGCTCAATATTAGGGAGATAATCCTTACACCTTGAAAGATGATTTTTCATAACACTTGTACCACTTTTAGAGTCACCACAAACATCAACATGACAATACAAACATTTGATCTTTTATCCCCACCTTTATTTATCAACTCAAAATGATCCCAAAGCCAAGACCTTTATTCCTTACCTTTATTTTTAGCTCCTACATCCTCACTAGTCCCAGTTGAAGGTCTTTTTGTTGAAACTATTGGTGGTGGATTTTGATCTCCAACAGGCTCGGCAGCAGAAACACTTGAAGCCAAGGGATCCTCACTTGACGGGTTAGTTGGGGCAACACTTTCAGCAGTAATATCATGATCATCCATTATCTACAACACAACATTAACATTTGACCACTTCAGAAGTAAATATTAAAGCATACTAATTATAATGAACAATCAAATATCAACCCACAAAATTGAACACTAATGCCACTAAGTCACTAATTGAACACAAATCAGCCTATAGCAGTAATCGAAAGAAGTTACTGGCTTTTAAATCATCTTCCATCATCATATATTAATATACTTCAAACACAAAAAAAAAAAAAGA